ACAGCAGGGCTAGCCATAGCAGCAGTAGCAGCAGTAGCAGTAGCAGTAGCAGTAGTAGCAGTAGCAGTAGCGCGGCTCGGCAGTGCGGCGCGGCTTGGCTGGGCGGCGCGGCTCGGTGGGGCGGCGCGGCTCGGCTGGGCGGCGCGGCTCGGCAGGGCGGCGCGGCTCGGTTCCTGGCGGCGCGGCGCGGCGCGGCAGGGCAGCGCGGGTGCTTACCAGGGGCGGGTGCAGGGCAGGGCCGCAGCTGGCGGTTTAGGTCAGGGCCGCGACCGGGGCAGCAGTAGGGCAGGGCCGTGACAGGGGCGGCTGCAGGGCAAAGGCCGCAAAGGGCGGCGAAGGCAGGGCCGCAACTGTGGTGGCAGCAGGGCAGGGCCGCGACAGGGGGTGGCTGCAGGGCAGGGCCGCGACAGGCAGCGAACGGGCCGACGACGGGCGGCTGCAGGGCCGAGGCCGCGACGGGGCGGCTGCAGGGCAGAGGCCGGGACTGGCGGCAAACGGGTTGACGACGGGCTGCGAACGGGCCGCGACAGGCGGCGAACAGGCCGACGACGGGTGGCGACGGGCCGACGACGGGCGGAAAAGGGGCCGGGACGGGCCGGCGACGGGCCGAGACTGGCCGGGACGGGCCGGGACGGGCCGAGAAGGGCCGAGACGGGCCGGGTCGGGCCGAGACTGGCCGGGACAGGCCGGGACGGGCCGAGCGCAGGGCCGCAGTAGGCGGCTAAGGCAGTGCCGTGACGCGTGGCGACGGGCCAGCGACGGTCAGCTACGGGCCGGGACGGGCCGGCTGAGGCAGGGCCGCGACGGGCCAGCTAGGGAAGGGCGCGTGACGGCGCAGGTAAGGCAGGCGCTAGGCGCGCTTCGGGCAGGGCAGGAAAAAAAAGTTCGTGGTGGGCCCTAAAAAAAACGTTCCCACGAGGGAACCTGCTCAGAATACCATGCTAGAATAAAGAACGGAATGAATGAACTAGGAAGCAGGTGGGTACAAGTAGGAAACCTAAAAGTGTTGTACCCTATATGAACTACCCCACTACAGCCTAGATTGACTATAACATATAAGTTTGACAGAACCGACGCACATAATTAACGAACCCTAAAAAACTCTGCAGCTCCGTGATGTTCGTCGGGGGGTGCCATGCTTTGATCGTGTCCAGCTTCTTTGGGTCGATTTCTACTCCAGCCTCCGAAATAACGTGCCCCAAAAATTCTAGCCTATCCTGGAAGAACTCGCACTTTGAACCCTTGGTCACTAGTCTGTGTTTGTCTAAAACTGTAAATACTGCTTCTAAATCAGCTAAGTGCTGCTGCTTGTCATGACTGTAGACGAGAATGTCGTCGAGGTCTAAACGCCTCATTCATGGTCATCTGAAAATTCTCCGGTGCGTTGGTCAGCCCGAAAGGCATCACTGTGTACTCAAATGACCCGTACGTGGTCCTAAATGCTGTCTTGGCGCAGTCCGATGGCTCGACCCGAATCTGATGGTAACCTCCTCGTAAGTCGATTTTTGAGAAGACCCTTGTTGTTCGCAGTTGATCTATCAGTTCGTCGGCGCGGGGGATGGGGTATCGTGATTTGACTGTAACCCTGTTCAGTGCTCTGTAGTCGATGCACATGAGAAAACCTCCGTCTTTTTTTGGTGTGAACAAAACCGGTGCGGCGAACGGTGACGAGCTTGGCCGGATGAATTTTTTCTCTAACAGGTAATCTTACTGCTTCCTCCGTTCATCGAGCTCGGGCTGTGTCAGTCTGAACTGTCGCTGTACGGTTGGCTGAGCCCCGGGTTCTAATTCTATTCGGTGATCATGCGCCCGCGGAGGTAGCAGTCCTTCCGGTAAGTCGTCGGGAAAAATCCCCGGGAACTTTGTCAACAGTTCCTGTAGTTCGGGTGGTACGGCCGCCAGAAGTTTCTGAAAATCGCTCGGCTGCTCTGTTTCTTCCACCATTGCGATATCCACCGCATAAACGTCAGCTCCAGCGGCGACAGCCCGTTTCATTGTGATGGCGTTGACGTGGACCGTAGAGGACTCAGGCGACTGCCAGCGAGGTAGCTCAACCCAGTTACCGCTATCTCGCACAGTGCAGCTACCCGTCGTCCAGTTGATTCGCGGGTTGTATCGTCGCAGCCAATCACGTCCTAGTAAAACGCCGTGCCCATCCAATGTCGTCGCGAGCATTTCCTGTGTAAACCCGAAGTTCCCCCCACAGCGGACTTTTACTCTCTCCACTTTTTCCCGTATGGCCAGCGGCGTTCCGTCAACTAAGCGTGCATCTATCTCCGGCAAACACCGACTAAGTGTCAGTTGCAGCTTCCTTGCAGTCGCGGTGTTAACTAAGCTGTGACTTGCGCCTCCATCTATAAAAATCTTCACTGCTGCTCCCTGTATTTTTCCGTGAATCAGTACTGGGCAATCCGTCGCTGTACCCTCCTTATTCGTCCGAGCCCGATCGATAGCGTGAATCGGTACTGTGACTTGGTGAGGGTCGGTGAAGTTGGGCGAGCAGGCAATCTCGTCAGTAGTTGGCCCAACTTCTACTGGCTGCTGGCGTTTCCCGGCCTCTGAGACTCTCGCCCCTGCTCTGTTCCGCGGCGCCTCAGCTCCTCTGGGCATTCACTCTTGCGATGGCCCGGCCTATTGCAAGCAAAGCAGCGCCCCTTAAACGGTGCGGCAGCTGCATTTGTCGCAACGGCGTGTACGGTGGCGTGCTCGATTGGTCCCCGAGGACGTTGTCCGTAGTAGGACCCCGGTCTCGGTCGTCGTAGGATGTCGATTTTCTCGGCGAGCGCGAGGATCTCATTGAAATTCGAGAGCCCGCGTAGCATGATTTCGTGCGAGATGTCCGGCTTTAGCCCTCCAACGTAACGGTCCACCCGCTCCGCTTCATGCATATAGCCGACTTGCTCGCATAATGCGAGAAAACCGCTCGTGTAGTCTTGAACCGATCCGAGCTGCCACCAAGTACGCATCTTCTGACCCGCCGAAATCGAAGCCGCAATCGGCTCGAAACGCGCCCGAAGCCCTGCGCACCACGCATCCCACGTCCTGTGCTGGGCTGTCTCGCAGAATGAACTCCAGGTGACGGCTGGGCCCGTGGGCCCGTCTTCTTGCGACGGTGGCTCGTAGGCGCGTGGCGACGTCACGATGACTCGCCACCAGTCCATGGCAGGGCCCCTCAGCAGCAAAACAGCGTAGCAAATCTTCGCTGCGTCCGACTCGACGTAGTTCGCGTCGAAGAAAACGTTCATCGTGAAGACCCACGACTGAACCGTCGGATCCCCACATTGGCTCGGGTCGAAACAGGGCGGACGTTGCGGCTTGAGTGGCATTGGTGCCGTGACGGCGTATTCGCCACTTGTCGCTGCAAATTCCACGTGCCGACTGGCTTTGCGGGGCTCCCGCGGGCTTGGTGCGGCCCTGTTTCTCTCCATGCCAGGCATTGAGTGAGCGGCGCCCTCACTGGCTACGCCTGAGCGCTGTCCCACGCTGTCGTTCTGTGTCGGTGTGTCTGACGAGATGATGATCGGCTCCTTGGATTGTGCAGGTGCATTTGTTGGTGCTGGTGCATTCACTGTCGATTGCTGGCGAGCGGAGTCGCGTTCCGCCGTGAGTGTGGCAATTTCGAGGGCTGAATCTTCGAGTTGGCGTATAAGACGGTCGAGCTGCGCTTGCGTCAGTGTCGCGAGAGTGATTTCAGCCATGGCGGGGGTGTCAGGCAAACTCAGCGGGAGCCTCTGTCGTGGCCATGCGTGCTTACGAGAGAGCACTACGAGCGGCGGTGCTTGGTCGCTAAGAGACGTCTACCCCCCCCCCAAAAATTTGAGATAGTGGGGAAGCGAAGGTGTGGGTGCGGTCCGAGAGAAGATCGTAGGCTCTGATAACCAAGTGTTACGAGTGCAATTTAGTGAGCGAGCGAGGATTGCATTATCGAGACAAGAATACAATGAGCGAAGGATTGAGCGAAGAATATATAGCGAAGCTACAGTGGTAACGGTAACGTGTGGGAAATGGGGTGCGCGACGGGCCTGGTGCCGAGGTCGGGGAATGTCGAGGCGGAGGTCCGGAGCGCGGGTTACCAACCGAACCGTGAGGTTGGGTCGCATCGTGAATAGTGGCGGGAATGGGGTCGAGGTGAATGTCGCGAGTGGTAACGGATTATTGTGGGGTGCTGTTGGCGGGAACAGTGGTGTACGCGCTGAGCAGGGACGCGAAGTAAGGAAAAGGGATTTTCCTTACACTGATATAACCAAAGGATAGAAGTGGATAGGATAAGTCTGCTACAGTAAGCTAAGAGAAGACAATGAAGTCCTGGTAGTGACCTTGTTAATAAAAGTTGAAAGAGAACAAGATAATTACAAGATAAGAATACTAAGGTATAAATAGCAAACTAGCTAGCCATGTACTCTGAGGGGTACAGTCTCTCATTAACAGAATTGCATTGCTACAGTAACCACGACTATTGCTCTTCTTGACAGTTACCATGTTGCATCGCGCAACTACCATGTGCCGTTACTGCACGGTCAAGAGTCACGACAGTTGATTGTCTTCGACTGTTGACCTTCGGGTGACTTTCGATCTTCCGTATGCTCTATATGAGCTATTGCGGTACTAGTACAGATGCGCTGCTTCGTTATGGAGTGACGCGTGGGTGGAGATCCTTCGGGAATGTTACGACAACCTTTCGGTTATTCCAACACCGCACACCTCCTCCCTCTGCAAAGCGCCTCAAGTCAAATGCGCTAATTCCTCTCTCCAAACCTCCTCTTCCCGCCCAATCCCCATCCGAACCGAACCTTTCTGGTTCTTGCACACCTCCTCCCACACAGGTTGTGTGTGTTAGCAGCAAACCAATACGCGACACACATAACACATTCAAACAATGGAGTGAGGAAGTTGAGAGAGTGAGAGGTGAGAATGGAAAGCGAGGAAAGGTGAGCGAGAGAAGTGGCAGTATGAATAGGGAGCAGAATGTAGTACGCGAGGGAGAGAGGAAGTTGAGAGTGTCAGAGGTAAGAATGGGGAGGAGTTGAGATGCGGGAGAGAAGTGGTACACGAAGGAACGAGTAAGAGGGAAGTGAGGTTAGGGAGATTGAGGAAACGAGAGTTGAGGCAAAGAAAGAAAGGGAAGGGCACGTGAAAGAAGGACATTTGAGACACTGGGTGGGGTAGGTTACGGAAAGAGAGTGCATGAGGAGGTCAAGTGAGTGAGGGAGGGTCAAATGAGTGAGGGAAGGTCAAGTGAGTGAGGGAGGGTCAAGTGAGCAAATGAGTAGGTTGGCGTGCAGAGGTGGGAAGGGGTGAGGAAGGTTACGAAAAGAGAGTGCATGAGGAGGTTGGTTCATAAGGAAACGTGAGGAGGAGACACGAGTCTGTTTTTTGAGAATTAAAAAAAAACGAGTTACGAGGAAGTTGGAGAGGCTGGCGGGCGGAGGAAGTGAGGGAAGGGGAGTGAAGGCAGGGGAATGGGAGAGGGAGCGGGGTGACGGAAGGGAATTGGGAAACTGAGGGAAAGGGAATGGGAGAATATGGGAAGAGGAGTGAGGGAAGGGGAGTGAGAGATGGGGAGAGGGAGAGGAGTATGAGGGAAGGACAGTGAGGGAAAGGGCGTGGGAAAGGAAGAATGTGGGAAGGGGTGTGCGGGAAGGGGAATGGGAGAGGGAGAATGAGGAAAGTGGAGTAAGGGAAGGGGATTGAGGGAAGGCGAATGGGAGAGGGAGAATGAGGAAAGGGGAGTGAGGGAAGGGGAGTGAGGGAAGAGTAGTAGGAGCAGGAATGAGAGGAGTGTGAGCGAAAGGGAGTGGGAGAAGGAGAATGCGGGAAGGGGAATGAGGGACGGGAAGCGGCAGAGGGAGGATGGGGAATGGCAGTGAGGGAAGGTCAAGTGAGGGATTGAGTGGGTTGGCGTGCGGAGGTGGGGGAGTGAGAGACGAGTTAAGCCAATGAAGGTGACGGAAGCAACCCAATGGTGTCATGAAGGACTTGAGCTTTTGAGGCGCCCCAAAACTTCTGAGCTTATTTTTTCGAGGCGCCTCAGAAGGAACCCAATCGTGTGATGAAGGACTTTAGCGGATGGCAGGAGCACGAGAGGGTCGATGGGAAGGTGGCATTGCATGCTCATGAATCAGTATGCTGCTGCTGCTGCTGCTTCGGAATCTGCCGTTGCTGCAAAAGGGCAACCAATGTGGGGAGGGGGGACTGAGAACAGGAGAGTGTGCATATTGTTTCCCCTCGTTTTGTGCTCCTTCCCCTCTCCCTCACGTGCACCATACTCGTAGCGCACCCTACAAAAAACAGTTCGACATACACACACACATTCACACATAGACAAGAGCAAATACCCATTGCTTCCCCCTCGCAGTTTTGCTGAGTTGGCCTGGTGTTTGAGTTTAGACAACGAAGAACACCTGTGCACATAGCGAGCGAGTCCATAACGAGGAATTTGAGCGAACAGAAGGAATGGTAACAAACAACCGCTTGACTGGCGGCTGTGCGTGCGAGATTGCGTGCGACAGTGCGCGCGACGATGCGTGCGACAGTGCGTGCGACAGTGCGTGCGAAAGTGCGTGCGACAGTGCTTGCGAAATTGCGTGCGACAGTGCGTGCGACAGTGCGTGCGACAGTGCGTGCGACAGTGCGTGCGACAGAGCTTCACTCCGACGACGACTTTGAAGCGGCACCAACAGAATTGAGGCTTGGACGAGATTGCGTAATGCTAGCGGTATCGTGGATTAGGTAAGGTGTTACAGTAGGCTTGGACGAGATTGCGAAGCACTGTCACAGCTGCAAGGACGGTGGTGGAAATTCGACGAAGTATCTGGTTCGTGTGAATGGGCGAACACGTGGCGAGATCGCGAAGCGGAGAGCCTCTGAAACGAGTCAAAGAAGAACTGCGGATCTGCGGCGCCTCCTCATCGGCGCGTGCGGTCGCGACAGGCACGGCCCGCCTCAATTACTGCTCTTCGCATGGCGGAATGGGATAGGGAGGTATTGCGAAACTTGGTAGCAACGGGTTCAGACTTACTACTAAGTACGACACAAAATTTCTGGCCCCCAAAACATACCCACAAAGGTGGCATAGTTTGAAGTATCCTACATGAACTGAGGGTGTGTGTCTTTATACAGTGCATTGCAAAACTCGTACTTTTAGTTGAACTTCTACCATTTGAACCTAGGTCGACCTATGCTCGACTACATCGAGTATTGCATCTCGAGTCGCTGTTCCTCGCTTCACATGAATCATATGGCACACAAAAGTTCGACTATCGAAGTTGAACTTTTACAGCTACATTCGAGTCGCGTCCCACTCCCGTAGGTTACCCGATAGATTTTAGTGCCATGTACAGTGCCACGTGTGTGTCTGAAACCAGATTCGCGACAACCAACATGTTCACGATGCGTTTTGCGACTGTCGCGGAATTCGCAGATTCCAGGTGCTTGGCCCTAAGGACACACAAGCGGCTTTTCGTGCACGCATGGTTTGCACTGAAAGCTCGACCTAGGTTCAGTGTCCTACATCGTGGCCAAGGTAGAGATAGGACACACGATGCACTCGCGAAAAAGATTGCGAGATTTGCGAAACGGGTTACCATCAAAACTTCAACTAAATTTCCTAACGTCTACACCAAAAGACACGCGCCCTAACTTTGTGTCAAAATGTTATGATGCTTATATTGTGTAGGCTGTAGTGGGGTAGCCCATAAGGGGTACAACCCGCTTAGATTTTAGTTCATCCATTCTCGTTCAGTATTTTGACATGGTTTCAGAGCAAGTCCTGTTCCAGAACCGGTTTTTTTTAGGGCCCACCGCATAGTTCCCTGCTCGTAGCGCTGCCCCACTACTCGCGCTGCCCTGCCCTGCCCGTCGCGCCGCCCTGCTGGCCGCACGCTGCCCTGCCCTGCCCATCGCGCCGCCCTGCAGGCAGAGCGCTGCCCTGCCCTGCCCGTCGCGCCGCCCTGCCTGACACGCGCCGCCCTGCCCTGCCTGTCGCGCCGCCCTGCTAGCCGCGCGCTGCCCTGCCCTACCCGTCGCGCTGCCCTGCTGGTAGCGCGCTGTCAAACATTAATCACATAGCCTGTCTAGGCTGTAGTGGGGTAGACACTATGGGGTACAGTTTCCTAGGGTTTCATATTTGTACCCAACTCATTTCCTAGTCAATCATTCATTCCTGTTTCTTCACATGGTATAGAGCGGGTTCCCTAGCGGGACCGTTCCTTCTAAGGGCCCACCGTTTTTTTTTTTTTTTTCCTACCTGCCCGAAGCGCGCTTCGCGCTCTGACCTGCCCTCGCTTTTCGCAGCCCCTTAGCGGCCTGTCCTGCCCTACGCGGCCCCCCTTGCGGCCCATTAGTGCCCCCCCTTCGAGGCCCCGTTGCGACCCCGCCCCGGCCCTGCCCCGTCGCCCGAAGCCGCCGAGTCGCGGCCCGGCCCGTCGCCCCGTCGCCCGGCGCCCCGTCGCCCCGGCCAGGCCCATCCCGTCGCCCCGTCGTCCCGGCCCGGCCCTGCCCGTCGCCCCGTCGCCCGGCGCTGCCCTGGCCCTGCCCCGTCACTCGTCGCGGCCCTGTCGCGGCCCGGCCTCGGCCCTGCCCCGACCCTGTCGCGGCCCGGCCCCGGCCCTCCTCAGGCCCTGCCCCGGCCCTGTTGCGGCCCTGTTCTGGACCTGTCGTGGCCCGGCCCCGGCCCTGCCCCAGCCCTGCCCCGGCCCTGTCGCGGCCCCGTCCCGGACCTGTCGCGGCCCTGTTCCGGACCTGTCGCGGCCCTGCCCCGGCCCTGCCCCGGCCCTGCCCCGACCCTGTCGCGGCCCTGTCCCGGACCTGTCGAGGCCCGGCCCCGGCCCTGTTGCGGCCCTGTCGCGGCTCTGCCCCGGCACTGTCCCGGCCCTGCCCCGGTCCTGCCCCGGCCCTGCCCCGACCCTACCCCGGCTCTACCCCGGCCCTGCCCCGGACCTGTCGCAGCCCTGCCCCGGCCCTGCCCCGGACCTGTCGTAGCCCTGCCCCGGACTTGTTGCGGCCCTGCCCCGGCCCTCCCCCGGCCCTGCCCCGGCCCCGCCCCTGGTAAGAGCACCGCCGAGCCGGCCCGCCCTGCCGAGCCGCACTGCCCTGCCTAGCCGCGCCGCTTAGCCGAGTCGCACTGCTGCTGCTGTTAGCCTGCTGCTGCTCCTGTCATGGCTAGTCCCAGTGTTCTTACCTTGATGCTGAGGGTCGAGCGGTTGACTTCGAGGTCTGGATAGATGATCTGCAGCTTTTCCTACAGTGCGATAGCAAGGATGGTCTCTCACTGTTCGATCTCACGTCTGGCGCCTCTACTGCCCCTGCTGCTGATGCTGACAGTACTGCTCGCTCACAGTGGACCACGCGCGATGCTGCTGCCCGCCTTGCTGTGCGTAGTCACCTACCGTCTACTGAGCGCGCGCACTTTAGTCAGTACAAGAGTGCTAAGACTCTGTACGACGCTGTAGTTGCACGCTACTCTTCCCCTGCCACTGCTGCGCTTAGCCGCCTCATGCTACCGTACCTGTTCCCTGACCTCGCCGCTTTTGCCACAGTCACTGACCTCATTACGCACCTCCGCACTAGTGACACCCGCTACCGCGCTGCGCTTCCTGCTGAGTTCTGCGCCAAGAACCCCCCCCCCCATGTACATCACCCTCTACTACCTAGTCACCCGACTCCCTGACACCCTTCGCTCGGTCAGGGACCACTTCCTCTCTCTTTGCCCTACCACACTCACCGTTGACCTCCTCGAGGAGCGCCTCCTTGCAGCAGAGACTAGTATTACCGCTGTAGGAGCCTCTCGTGGTGACCCCCGTACCCCTTTCTTTGAGGGGTGCTCCCCTGTTCCTCTTTTGCCCTCCGTTGCCTCTGCATCTGCTGTCGACCTTGTTGGCACCGAGTCGGTCAGCGCTGCGTCTGCTCCTAGCGAGAGGCGTCGCAGCGGCAAGGGCAAGCGGGGCAAGGGCGCTGGAGGAGGTGGCGGGGGAGGAGGTAGTGGCGGTGGAGGCGGAGGTGGGGGTGGGGGTGGGGGTGGGGGTGGTGGCGGAGGTGGGGGCTTCGGTGGCAGCGGTGGAGGTGGAGGCAGCGGTGGCGGTGGCGGTTGGGGTGGAGGAGGCGGAGGCGGCGGCGGTGGAGGTGGAGCTGGTCGAGGCGGAGCTGTGTAGCGGGGACCCCAGCACCAGCCACGCTCTCGTGAGACCCCGTCGCCCCAGCAGCTTCGTGAGTGGTACGCAGGGCGCCAGGGGTCTGGGGGTGCTGGTCCCTGTACCTACGTCCTACGCACCGGCGACCGCACTGGAGAGCAGTGTGGCGGCCTGCACGCCACCCAGCGCTGCTTCGGCCGACTGACAGACGCCTGGCATACCCAGTTCCCTGCCGCCACTGAGATCCCTCGCTGGGGTGATCTGCTCAGGTCGGGTGTAGCTATCTTTGATCTTGACTTTGATGCTATCCTTGCTGCCATGTATGCTGTGTCTATTAGTGCTGAGGGTGACTGTTACGTGTGTGTTCCGCCTGACCCAGGCATTGAGGCTGCTGCTCTAGGTGCTAGTGAGGCTGCTGCTCTAGGTGCTAGTGAGTCTGCTGCTCTAGGTGCCAGTGAGTCTGCTGCTCCAGGTGCTAGTGAGTCTGCTCTCTCAGGTACCGCGTCGGCTCAGGTTTTGCACACCTTGACCCTCGACTCGGGTGCTTCCCGCTCCTTCTTTCGAGACCGCACCACCCTTACGCCGCTCAGTCGACCGGTTGCGGTCTCCCTGGCAGACCCCTCTGGGGGTCCTGTCCTTGCTCACTACTCCACTGTCCTCCCGTGTCCGGCGGCCCCGTCAGGCTCCCTGTCTGGTCTCTACCTCCCCTCGTTCTCTACGAACTTGGTGAGTGGTGCTGACCTTCAGGATGGCGGGGTTGACCAGTTCACTCCTGCAAGTCAGCGAGTAACCCACTGCACGTGTGCTCGGACGGGCCGCCACTTGGCCACGTTTACCCGTCG